ATATATATATGCCAATTACAGATGTGCAGTACAATAATGAAAATCTGAAATGAATATTTAAATATTTAGAGATTTTAATGTTAATTATACTCAACATTTAAAGAAAAAGAAGTTCAAGTGTTTAAAAAAGGAAAAAGCAAAACATTTGTGCTTTGCCAGGAACTTCTTAAATGTATGATTCTCTTCGAAGAGCAATTGCCCCGTTTTTCAAAAAGTGCTCTATCTGAAGTCTCTCCTTAACCCTCTTCTCATTGACCCTTGACATTGTCAGTGAGACTTTTACATGGCTCCTGTACTTATGCCCAGCAACTGAGATGATTTGAATAAGGCCTGTTGGTAGGACTAAGTTAAAGATCTTTTGGAAAAAATAATAACATTGGACTGCACTTCCCATTTGACACTCTGGTCAAAGCTATCTTGTGTTCCCTCTGCTTCTTATTTGCAGAGGAAACCTTCAGGGAAAGTTATCATGTATCCTTAGAGTTCACACTCCTGGCACACTCCAGTATGCCAATGGCACTGATAGGTAAGCAGGAAGTTCCTACACATTCACCAGCCTCCTTGAGAGATGCAATTACATGCACATCAAGGCTGGCATCTGCATCATGTTTCATAGTATGCATCCATCCAGAGGGCTGCGGATTTCTTCAAGGACCTGTGGGAAGAGTGAACGGGATTATCAGGAGGTGAGACTCTAAGATAAAAGCTGCTACTCCATGGAACATATGCTCTTTTACTTGGTTCAGGGCCACGTTGTCATTTTCAGTTATATGTGAAAAATATCTTCTTCTGTTGCCCAGTGAAGGGAGTCAAATACATTGACTTGTGTTTTTAGCAGGTGAGGTCACCTTTCCTTTATGGAAGAGATTGTTCTTTTTTCAATTACTCTCTTCTGTATCCCAAACCATCACCTACCCTTTTCTCTCGTTTTTTTTTTTTTTAAATCTTTTGAGATTCTTTAAGATAAAGCATGCAACTGTATAACAATCCATCCAATATACATCTACCCATCTTATTTTATAATGTGAAAGATACTTTTCCTGGCTCTGGGGATGCAACAGTGCATAGGAGAGAGGTAGGTCCTGTCCACGTGGAGTTTCTGGTCTAGTGGGAGACACATCTTAAAGAATTTGTTACCTAATTTGTTGTTTAGTCATGATTATGACACAAGTCACGAATGAAGAGAGCCAAGTGCTGCAAGAGCATGTGACTTAGTCATAGGCATCAGGGAAGACGGAGGAGGAAAAGGCATTTGAGATGAACCTTGAAGAGTGAATGAAAATTGACAAGGTGATAAGGACTGGTTGGAAGAACATTCTAGGCAGAAGAAAAGGTGACAAAGCAAGTGAAATGGCAAGGGCAGGGGGTTATGTAACAGATGAAGGGAGGCCAGGTATCTGGAGGACAGAGAAGGAGGAGAAGGGTAGAGTCTGACACTGGAGCACTAGGCAGGATCAGATCAGAATAGGACTGGCCTGTTGGCTTCTTTCATTTTTTTTCCTAAAAGGAAGTTATTAAACACAGATCACTGGCTGTTAGTCTGATCAGCACAATGCTTTCTAGGGAACTGAATGCTTCGGGATGGATATGAATTTTCGGTTCCCTCAGGGCTTGCCATTCTTGGTCAGTTACCCCTGGGGTCCGTCTATAGAGGATCAGTCGTCCCTGCCTGATTCACACATTTATGTCCTGCTGGACCCTGCAAGCATCTTCGTTTGCAACCCTGGAGCAGAATCTTTATATATATATATATTTTATTGATTTTTTACAGAGAGGAAGGGAGAGAGATAGAAAGAGTTAGAAACATCGATGAGAAAGAAACATCCATCAGCTGCCTCCCGCACATCCCCCACTGGTGATGTGCCTGCAACCCAGGCGCATGCCCTTGACCGGAACCGAACCTGGGACCTTTCAGTCCGCAGGCCGACGCTCTATCCACTGAGCCAAACCGGTTTCGGCTGGAGCAGAATCTTTGAGAGTCCCTCCCAACCACTTAAGTTGTCAAGCATGCAAAGGCTCTATAGGGGACACAAAGGCAAATAGTACACAGCCCTGGTTTTAAGAAGCTTGAACTTAAGTAGAGCAGAAAGGCATTTCCACTAAGAAGTACCTAGAAGGCAGAAGGTACATGGTAAAATTATTATTATCAAATCTGCAGTTGATGCTGTCCATGTCCATGTCGGGCATACAGGAGCTTCTTAATAAATGGTTCCTGGGTGAGTGAATCACAACCCAGTGATTAGTCTGGGGACATGAAGAAAAATGAGAGCTGAATTGAGGAGACGCTGTTATTACCTGACAATATCTCCAAATGCCTTCAATATGGGTTTATTCACATACTGCAATCCATGCTTGGCACACAGGGACCTCACCAGAGGTGCCACCTTCTGATAATTATGGCGGGGCATAGTGGGAAACAGACTAGGGAAACAGAAACAGGAGATACAAAACTTAGACCTACAGAGCAACTGGAAAGAGGTTCTTTCCCCCATTACTAAATAAAATTATGTCAGCAATGCAGACCCAACCTTGACTTTGCACAATACTGCTGCAGGGAGTTAAAAAAAACTCTTGCCAAACACTCTTATCTTAGCTCTTAAACTTCTGTGAGCCCTGTGGTTGGCAATGTTTGGGAAGAGCTAAGAAAATAAATATTAGCACCATAAAAAAATTTATATTTGGCAGCTCAAATGAAAGTATGGATTTATTTATTTATTTTTTTACCATTCTAAATTATCTAGAGAGCTGGAGATATTCACCTTCCATCTCTGTCTGTCTGTCTGTCTGTCTGTCTCTCTATCCATCTAACTCCTGCATCATGAATACATAAGTTCTAGTAATGGCATATGGGGAAAAGTTCTAGGATAGGAGTAAGAAGTGAGGAAAGACGGGCTTTCATCCAAGGCTTTAACTAATTAGCCAGATGACTTTCTTGGGTTTTTAGCTCCTCTTTGATGAAATATAAATAATAATTATTTCTTGTTTTGCTGGGATTTTAATATGAAAGAAAGGATAAAAAGATCCTATGAATAGGTATAAGATCTCTTCCTTCACTATCACAGAAATGGCTTAGATAAAGAGGTTATGGAAAGTCTCTCTTCTGAATATTCTGGGGAGATTAACTCAAAGGATTATCATTTACTCTTGCTTTATGGCATGTTTGCCTAACTGACCCATTGGTAAAGTATTTCCAGGTACCATTTGGAAATTGCAGCAGAGACTGGATTTCATTGTTGATTCTTTTGTAACCTCAGTCTAAAGATATAGAGAGATAGGCATTTAAATTAAATTGCAATTAAGTTTCAACACAACTTGGTTACCCAGGTGTCATGTTTTTTCATGGGTTTTGCCAACAAACCGAATGCAAAGAAAACAATCAACAATTTCTAAATCCATGGGAACCTCTAAACCAAATCACTGGTAGTTTCTAAGATTTCACTCTATTTACTCACTATTGTTCTACTTCCTTCTTTTCTTTTTTACCCTTAATGTTAATTGAAAGATAGCAGTCTTTAAAGAATTCTGGTTTTTTTTTTTTCCTCTGTGATCCCAACCCTATGGCTCTGCTCTGGACTGTATGGAGGCTATTATAACTCAGAGCCCATTCCCCTATCATGGGTTGTTTCTATCACTTACTGGTGCTCGATTTGGAAGTTCAGGTGCCCAGTGAACCAGTCATTGAAAAAGGACTGTTCAACATTACAGGTTGCCAGGACCTGCAAAGAAAAAGTTTACATTTGATATAAATAAGCTCAAGTGTCAAACAGAGAAAATGTTTAGTTCCCTCTCCCGCCCTTCCCCCCCACCCCCAGGCAATCATTCAGTAAGTGCTCATTGATTACCTCTTTTGTGTAAGAAACTATGAGGAATATAAAAGATAGGTGGTCCCAGTTAAATAGCTTACAATTTAAAACATAAATAAGACATTTTGCAAAGAAATATATATAAGGCAATAGATATGAAAAAGTGCATAGAACTTGAGGGGGCTAAGTCACCATCAGCTCTTGGATACAAAAGACTAAGGTGTCACCAATGAGGACCTTGGCAGATGAAAGTGAGAATAGAGGATTTGGGGAGAGATTGTAGGGTTTAGAATCCATTTCCATAGAATGGAATTGAAGGGCTTCTCAATGGGGAATAAGGCATTAAGGGTTTTATCAGGCACATTCACAAAGGATCTTAATCTTTGCATAAAAGTACATTCAATGTAAAGATTTTCCTTTGTAATCTAATGTATTTTAGATTATACATTGAAAAGCATTATCATGAGGAGATTGTAGCTTCTTCAGACTGCAAAGATTAAGATCCTTTGTGAATGTTATTTTATTCAATACCTTTCTAAGATTTAATTCCAGTTGAGTTGACATTTTGAATATTATTTTTGTGGTAGTTCTATGTCAGCATTTCTCAAAGCATTCTTCAGAAAACCTTGGGGTTTCCTAGGACTTTTTTCAGGGGATCTGCAAGGTCAAAATTACTTCTGTAATACTTCTAAGACTTTTTTTTTCTTTTCATTCTCATTCTCTCATGCTTGTACAGTAGATTTTCCCAGAGGCTACTAATATAGGATGGCACCATCACTCTAAGGTATTGCTTTGATTCTTATATTAATTAATAATGAATTAATAATGAATTCATAAGTGTTTGAAAGTATTTTAGTTTCAACTATAGTAAATATCCATAAATATAAATAACTGATATAAATACAAACTCTTTCAGGTCGCAGTGACTTATAAGAGTGTCAAGTGGTTCTGTAACCAAAAAATATGAGAAGCAGTACTTAATGCCCTATGTAAGGTCCACTGAACTTGGGAGTGAGTTTGGAGAAGGAAGCAGAATTAGGACTGGATTCTCCAGTCAATCGTGGTACGGCAAGTGAAAGGCTGAGATGGTAGGGCTGTTCTGCACTGGTTAGAACTCTGAATCATTCACAGATGCTCGGAGAGCATGTCATGTCTCCTCACTGAGGCTCTCTCCCTATACAAAGAAATGAGGTGCATTCCAGCGTCCTTTTTGGTGTAAATTCATTCTGTAATTGAAAGGCTGTGTCATGTGGTCAGCAAATCTTTTCTATAAAGTATCGAACTGCAGATATTTTAATTCTCTGTCAGAGCTACTTAATTCTGCTGTTGTTGCATGAAAGCATTCATAAATAATATAAAATGTATGAGCATGGTTGTGTTCTAAGAAAACTTTATTTACAGAAATAGAAAGTGGGTCAGATTTGGCCCTTGAACTGTAGTTTACTGACCCTTGGTTTAGAGCAGTGGTTCTCAACCTTCTGGCCCTTTAAATACAGTTCCTCATGTGACCCAACCATAAAATTATTTTCGTTGCTACTTCATAACTGTAATGTTGCTACTGTAATGAATTGTAATGTAAATATCTGATATGCAGGATGGTCTTAGGCAACCCCTGTGGAAGGGTCGTTCTACTGCCAAAGGGGTCTCGACCCACAGGTTGAGAACCGTTGGTTTAGAGTAAAGGCTCTGAAATCAAACTGCCTGTGTTTAAAATCTGTTTGTAACACCTATTAACTATGTGATCTTATGCAAGTTACCCAACTTCTTCATAACTCAATTTTATCATTTGCAATGTGGGAGTAACCATAGCACCTATCACATGCAGTTCGATGCACACTAGTTGACAGTGCTTGGTCTCTGGCAAGCATTGGATAAGAATGAATTCATATTATTGGAGATAACCAGACTCTAAATCATTATGCTTTGAAGGATCCTCTCCCAGGAACTTCATTACTACCTGAGTACTGAGCCAGTCTCTGTTCTCCTCTCTGCTCATTTTCATTGGTATGTGGCTCATCTGTGTAACACATGCAATCCAGGGACTTTCAAGAAACCTTTTGGAGAATAAAAGGAGGAATTGATGACTCCTTGAGGTGTTACAGTTCCAATCACTGGGCTTACATAATTGCTGACAGAGTTGGCTGAATATTGGAGGAAGTAAAAGTGACTCCAAGGTTCTAGTAAAATAGTGGTCATTTATTTTTCTCTTTAAATCTAGAAATGACACAGTAGGCATTTGGTCACAAGACCTACCTTGCTGCCTAATGTACAGAAGTAGTGCCCCTAAGTTTGCTGTAGCATTGGTGCAAAGATAAAAAAAAATCTAACTTAAGGGCATACACAGCCTAGGGTTTGTCATCAGATAGAGCTGGGTTCAAGGTCTGGTTTGGTACTGCCATTGGACCTTGCAAACTCTGTAGCCTTGGGCAAGTGATTAAATCTCTCTTAGCTCCAGCTTCCTTAGCAGAAAATAAGACGATGCTATCTACAATACAGGATCATGCGAGGATTGCAGCTAATAAGAGAATGACTATGAAGCCTTTAGCAAAGTGTCTAATACAGAGTAGCTATTATTATCTTTACTAGAGGCCTGTTTCAGGAAGATTCCTGCAAGAATAGGGCTTCCTGAGACCGCAGTGAAGCAGAGAAGGGAGCGAAGCCCACTGAGGCGGGCTTCGCTCCGTTCTCCGCTGCCTCTCTCCCTCCCTTTGCCCTCGACTTAGCCCTCTTTTTTTTAATTGTAAATTTTTTATTGATTCATAAAGTATACAGTATAGAGTTATGTATGGAATAGCATATCAGGTAAATGACCTCCACGGCTTTGCTAGCACATACGTCAAACGGGCCGGATCCAGCCCACGGGCCATAGTTTGCCCACGGCTGATTTAGAATAACAAAGTAAAATAATGAGGGGGGTAAATTGGGAAGTTGAAGAGGGCTATTCAGTGGGAAGTCATTTTGGTTTTGGGAAAATTCCTAGTCATAAAGACATGTGTTAGACAATACTCATGTGAATGGGCCAAAAACAAAACAAAACTCGAGGACTGTATTTGTGACTAATTGTATAACAGGTTATTTTAATTTCTGTTTTGTGGAAAGTGCAAAGCATTCCAACAAAGGGTTGGAAGTTGAAGAGGGCTATTCAGTGGGAAGTCATTTTGGTTTTGGGAAAATTCCTAGTCATAAAGACATGTGTTAGATAATACTCATGTGAATGGGCCAAAAACAAAACAAAACTCGAGGACTGTATTTGTGACTAATTGTATAACAGGTTATTTTAATTTCTGTTCTGTGGAAAGTGCAAAGCATTCCAACAAAAGGTTTTAGTGTAGTTTTTTCTTTTCTTTTCTTTTTTTTGCACCCATGCTGTTGATTGCTAAATGTAATGGCCTGATCATGACGCTGAATAAATGTGTCTTTTAAAAAAAATTTCTTATCTTCCATTATCTTTGGAAGGATTATGATGTCCAACTGGATTACAGTTTTAAAAGATTTTTGGGTCAGGTGAAATACTTTATTGGGAATTAAGAAAATGGGAACAAAAAGAGAAGATTGGGCCAATATTTTTTTCTAAGGAGCACTTCTTACTCAAATATTTTTTTTTCTTCACAGTTACAGAGAATGGGGCATGGTGTCATAATCTTATGCTAATCACAAATGGTTTAGATAAGGAAGATAAGAGAATTATCTAAGGAATAAGTGGATATTCTTGCTTTCTTACTTGACCAAATATATGAGCAATACTGTTCCGAAGATTCCATAGAAAGGGCCAAATGTGATGAAATAGCGGATGTAAAAACTGCTGACCCAGACGATGTCCTGCAGAGAGAAGTGCCTGAAAGTTAGATGCTCTGAACATAATCTCATTTCCCCTTCATTGGTCTAGGGTCCCTTCATGTACTGGCTAAATCTTATGTCTCACTATTCAAAAAGCTCTACCTGGAAGAGACTAAGCACTTTCATTTCCCATTTTCTACTTGATTTAGCTTCAGAGAATGAGTTGTTACTCACCTTCCAATATCTTCCGAGGTACATCACTTGCATGGATTGCAGGTTGAAATATACTGGCATGAGGAGGGGAAGCCCAACTGAAAACAACAATAATAACAAAAAATATGTTGAATAAATGAGTAGAATGTGTTCTCAGTGCAAGTCAGCAGGGCTCTATCTCCTTAAGATGCCACCTTGCAATGTTGCCTCTGAGAAAGACAGAAGGCTTGAGATCCAAAATGGAATTTTTTGATTCTACGAGGCTGAACCAGGAATTTGGTTCAAGCTCCCTCAAGAAGACTAGGGAAGCTTTCAAGACTTGAGTCATTCTTGATGGAGGCATCCTAAAAGAGCTTTTGCTGTGAGCTTTCAAGTTATCTCAAGGTCTATGGAAGCCTTCCATCCTTCACAATCCTCAGGATAGGACCTGGTCACAATATGTCAAGGTAGCAGAAATAAAGAAGCTGTACTCCTTTCTTGGCTTAAGAATCATTTACCTGCCTTTCCCCCAGGGTCAGTGAGGCCAGAGCACAAACAAGTCTTAGGGAGAACCTTTGGGTTTTGACAGACTCTCTCCTTGACCATACTTTAGTCGGGTCCTCTGAGTCCTCTTCTAGACTAGGCTGTGTCCGCTTGCAAACTCTCAAACTATGTAACCTCTCAGCACAAATGATTTCTTCCATCCCACATACTAAGAAACTTGAACAAATGCTAGCATAGTTTCTAACAGCTCAGGGCCACATCCCTGGGATGCCTTTCTTTTCTTAGAGCATTTATGTTAGAAATCTTACAATTGTAAATGCTTTCTCTGTCCCTCTGAGATATATCTTCTGTGACCCAGAAATGGCTTCCTTAAGGACTTTATTCTTTTCTTTTTGTAGGTGTTTAGTCTTTCCACAATTAGAGTCCTAGATTCAAGACTCTTTGCTTGGCATCCTGTCTTCCATCCTTATCAGAGCATTTCCTTTCTTACCCAATATCCAGAGTGATGAAATGCCTATTAAAGATTCCTATTTGCTTCTCCATTTTTCCTTTTCAGTTTTCCTCACCAGTAAGTCTAAAAGAAGGCATTCTGCTTTTCTCAGTTATAAGATAACATGGGCTGGTCCCTCTGTGAGAGCACATCTATAGAAAGAGCCATCAGAGTTCATTTGTTGTTTAATTTAAAGCCCTTGAAGAAGCAGAGGTGGAGTGGGGAGAAATATTGTGGCATCTTTTTGCATTAATTAAATATGAACAATTCTTGTACAGATGGTTTATTCCATTTGACTATGTGGATTATGACCATTTTTAAAAAATTTTATTACCATAGAAGCCATTTTGAGATTTTTTTGGTCCTTCTGTGAAGTGGTGATTGAAAAGGCACATTTCTGATGAATTTTTCTAGCTCTTCTTTGACAGTGGTGTTTACAATTCTGCTTGAAGCTCAGTCTCTATCTACATTCATTCAATAGATACCATGTGATAAAAGATACAGTCATGGCCTCTCCTATCTGTTCCATCTTTCCTCATTTGTGTTCTTATCATGAATCTCATGCTGTAATTTACTATTTGTAAAGTACAGTGATATTATATATATCAGTACTGGAAATTTGATTTATTTTTTATGGGTTTCCTTCATTCATTTAATCTGTTCTCAGTGCATGAAGACAGAAAATACCTCAAGAGGAGGAATAAAAGTAACGGTTATATCTTCAATAACTAGCAGGCACTCAATAAATATTGAATGAATGAATGGTAAGTCACATCCTGCTGTATATTTTATCTGTATATTCACTGTTACACTATGGGCAAGGTTTGACTCTTGCTTTCCTCATTCTTTTAATACTTTCCCACCTACATATAGATTTCTTCTCTTATTTGGAAAGTAGGTCTGATCCTTTGTTCTCATATTGTTATAAATAAAAAGAAATATCATGGAGATGACATAATAATAGTTATTTGCAGTTACTCTCAAACTTCCAAATATTTAAGTAGTAGGAAAATGGCAAAGGAAATACATGAAGAAAGCTTGGGAGTTAGCAAAGGTAGGAGAAAGGCTGGTTTTGAGTGTCATTCCAAAGGAGGATGCTAAGTCTCCAGGAGCAGAGGAACTGGCACATAGAAGATTTAATTAATGCTTGTTGAAAGAATGAATGTTTGAAGAAAGTGATAGAAATATTGACAATAAAATGTGAGAATGCAAATCAGAACTATTTTTTGATGTGAAACAACTGAATTTTAGAGTATAAATAATTTTAAGTAATGTTTTGTGCAGTAGCTTTGAAACTATGTTATATAGGTCCCTAAGATGCTAGGGATATGTCCCAAGAGCAACTGTAAAACTTGAGGAGGTGGCCCCAATAATTTGTGAAGCTCTAGAGAAGCCCCTTCTGAAGAAGGTCAAGCTGCTTCATGAACTTCAGTGAGACAAATCTCTCTTTGTCAGGGGGGATGATAAATCAAATGTCACAATTTCAGTGATGAGCATGAAGTTCACAAACATCAGAGAGGTCCAATTTGTTTGTGGAGCCATGGTCAAAAGAAACTGATTCACAATCACAGCCATGGCTTTTGTTTTTTAAAATATAGGCAAGAGAATTTATTTCCTAATTCAGATGGAAAAGAGAGTACTACAAGACCCAGACAACAACTGCCTAAGCTAGATTATTATTTTTATAAAACTCCAGAATAGTCATAGTCCTAGGAACATAGCAGATTCTTCCTAAGTATCCAACTCCCAGGATCCATGTCCTTAGACCTCCTCTATTGAATGAAGACTTCAAAGAAACTTGTTGATTGTCTTTTACATGATGACATTAAGTGAGGTTTTTTAAAATATCAACCATTAAGAAATTCTGGAGTTGACTTTTTTCTTCCTTTTTCTATATTTTAAAAAATATAAATTACAGGTGTGGTCTCTAAGTATCTTAAGAAGCTTTTGGGCTGTGGTTCATGTGTAAATGTACCAAAATAAACACAAACTGAAAAGAATAGCACTGTTTCTTCTAACTGAGCTAGAATTAGTTGAAATAATTAGAGATTTAGATGTTTGTGCTTTAGTGCTTATTGAATGTATTGACCTGTTTCCCTGAGTGAATGTCTCCATATTCTTTGAGAGTCATTGCTGACCTCACATCACCTGGTTTTACTACCTAACATTAGCATATGTTGCTTCAAAGCTAGTGACAGGAAGTAGGCAGGTATCTGCTTGTCATCGGGATTGCTCAAGCAAAGTGATATGAGTTATATTTCTTACACTAAGAGGTTGTACTGAATGACTTTTAAGGACATAGAGTCATGCACTCCACACCTCCTAATTTTACAATCCCAGGTTCAGTTATTTCAAATCCACATCCTGGACTTAAAAAGAGAGATGTTTTCAGAACACGTGTGAAGTTGGAAGCTCTAGCTTGATCTTTCCAAAACAAGGCAATAGGCCTTTCTAAGAACATCTTCTAGGAACTTCTTTTGGCCAGGAGTTCTAAACATACCTTGATAGGTTGCAAATCTCCAACCAGGAAAAGTGGACCCACATCAATATCTGGGTCTTTTGGGTAAATGTTTGGTTTTGTGTGATGTTGGAAGTGTCGGTGATTCCACCATTTCACTGACAGGCCCTGAGGAGGAGAGGATTCATTAGTGGTGCAAGATTTCTCTTTTGAAATGCCCTTCAGAATTAGAATTTTTTACATGCATCTCCAAAGTCAAAACAAGATATTTGAACTTCTCAAACTTGCTCCCACTGCTGGGTCACAGAATGATTCACTGGACAGGCATTCTCAAAGCCTACAGACAAATACTCATCTGAGTCAGGCACATAAATTCAGGCTCAAACAACACCTGATGGTGAAAAATTATAAGAATCTGGTGAAATGAAACAATTTCCTATCTTTTTATTTTGATTCTCATTAAAAAAATTCTGGCCCTAGGTAGTTAGGCTCAGTGGATAGAACATTGACCTGCAGACTAAAGGGTCCTGGGTTTGATTCTGGTCAAAGCCCCGGGCCCTGGTTGGGGCTTATGCAGGAGGCAACCAATCAATGTGTTTCTCTCACATCACTATTTCTCTCTGTCTTTCACTCTCTCTTCCACTCTCTCTCTATCTCTCAAAAAAAAAAATATCCTTGGGTGAGTATTAAAAAAAATATTCATAAAAAAATTCTGGATGTAGGTGGGGCAGAGAGTAGTTTTTCTACTTAAAAATCTAAAAGGAAACCTCAGCTCTAAAACTTTAATTAGTTGTGTAGAAAAAAATAGCCCCAGGAATTCTACTTCAATGAATATTTCAAAGAATATGGATTTGAAGTGATCTCCTAGGGGAGCTTGGCTCAGATCATTGCATGTCCAGGCTTCAATGCTCTTTCCTATCTAATTAAGAGGGAATATACAAATTGACCATCACTCTGCCACAAAGAGGTAAGCACCCATAGCCACAATATGGCAGTGCCAAGTCCCCTCGGCCCCGCCAGAGTCCCTCAGTCCTTTCAGACCAGCAGGGCAAGGGGGAGGGGTGGAGCAGCAGGTGCACAGTGCAGCCAGACCCACCTTCAGCTCCCCAGCCTCCCAGGGCTGGCCCGAGGTGCAGGCAAGCCTCGGATGTTGGCTTGCCTACGCCTTGGGCCAGCCCTGGGTGACTGGGGGGTTGAGGGCAGGTCCAGTTGCACTGTGCTCCTGCTGCCCTCCCTCCCCCAGCTGGGCTGAAAGAACTGTGGGACTTTACCACCGGGGATGTGCCCGCAACCCAGGTACATGCCCTTGACCGGAATCGAACCTGGGACCTCTCAGTCTGCAGGCTGATGCTCTATCTACTGAGCCAAACCAGTTTTGGCTGACATCTCTTAATAACTGGCCAATGCATGTTTTAGATCTTCACTAGCCAATACAGTAGCCATAGCCATATGTGGCTATTGAATATTTGAAATGTGACCAAATTAAGATGGATTGTAAGTGTATAATTCATACTGAATTTTGAAGATTCAAGATAAAAAATACAAATATCTTAATTTTTATACTGATTACCTATTGAAATGATGATATTCGAGTACATAGGGTAATAAAATTACCCTTTAAAATGTGGCTATTAGAAAATTTAAAGTGACTTACCAGGAACACACTATACAACTATGGTACAAGAGATGGCTTTGTTTGGAAAATCTGTTAGCATTGCCTTCCCCTAGTCTTCACTGCAGATTTCTCTTAGCAATCCAAGCCCTCAATCATCAGGAGCAGTATTCTCTTCTCACTTCTAACATTCCCTAATGTCCTTCCAGTGGAATCTCTCTCAGTCCAGCGCTCTCTCCTGAATCTCATGCTTGAACGGGAGATCACTTTCAAAACATTTCCTTTGGATGTCTCATGACATCTCAAACTCAACATGGAGTCATCAGTTTCTGTTCCCCCTTTTGGGGCTCCAATGGACTCTGCATTTCTCCTATCAAATTGTACACCACCCACTCACTCTTAAATTGTGCATTCACTCATTTATTCACCCACTCATTATGTACTTTGAAGTTTGTCCCATGTATCAGATACTGAAGTAGGCAATATTTAGAATATGAAGATAGACATGATAAGATGGGATTCCCACATTTATGAACCATATAATTTAATAAGTGCAGGAGACAACTAAACAAGGACACTGTGATAAGCAATGGTTCTCTCTCTCAATTAAATCCTCAGATTGCGAATATCTTGGCCTCTTCTATCAGCTTGCTATACCCTTCAGCCAACAACTATCTATGGAAATTGGTAATATGAGAGACAGGGTTTGATTCACAAAGGTCAGAGAGTGCCTGCTCAAGGTTGTGGAACTTAGAACAGTGGTCAGAGTGGTGTGGGTGTGATCTAAAGCAGCTGGCTCCTCTCTGGCTCCTCTGTCTGGAAGCTACAATTTCTGGAGATAAGGGAGTGATCCCTGGGGAAGTAAGGATTATCAACTTCGTGCAAAACAGGCTACCAGGCACCTAGTTCCATACAGGAACCACCCTAAGTCATTCTTCATTTTCACATTATGTCCTTTCTTAGGACAGCAGCCAGGGTTTGGACTGAAACCATCCTGAATCTAAAGTCCTGCTACTAGGTGTGTGCCCTTGACCAATTTCATCATCTGAAAAATGGATGAGGTTACCGGAAGGATTACAGGAAATACCATGCTTGACACTCTTCCTCCCAAAATGTTTTAGGATGTAGTCATGGAAACAACATAAGCCAGATTTTTAAGGAAGGTTTTAATTTCAACTATTCTGCTTCTTTAACTCTATAATAACACTTGATTCTTATAGTTTGCAAAATATGCATATGGGAGTGAGGGGTGAAAATATGCTACAGGGAATCCATTTTGATTTTCACATTGCACAGAAGTCCAAAATGTATGAAGACATTTCATGGTTTATTTTCAGAAACACTATTTTCTTATGTGAGCATGGCAAAGACCAAAATGTATATATTTTTGCACAGCTGGTGGATGAAAATTCCAAAGAATTTCAATATCTGTGCCTTTTCCAGGTGGGAGGAGGGTAAATTAATGTGAAATCAAGCTTTGAAATTTAAAATTGTCATACATGTACAAAGTGGGGATGTTTGCTGTTTATAGGATAATTTTCTTTGTTAACCTCCCACTCCAGCCCACCTTTCTTCCCCACAGGTAACTCTCTCCTGTGCATAGTTGAAGCCTATATTAGTTTTGCTCAGAAATCACTAGTTTTGCCCAAGTGCACCTGATTTGCTTTTATTTACTTTTAAAATCTTTATTGTTGAAAGTATTACAGATATCTCCCCTTTCCCCCATTGATCCATTATAGACCACTCTTGATTTGCTTTGAGAGCCATTTACCATTTATTTACTCTGGTCATGAGTCATCAAGATTATATTCAAAATTGTTTCTGGAGACACAATTTATAACAAGAGAGCTGTGTACAAATTTGGATCAATGGGAAAGCAGTAGTTTTTTTAAAAGTACCAGCAAGGGTACTTTTAATTAAGAAATATTGCATCCACTGGCACCAAATCAATTGTCAATTATCTCCAGAGCAGATGAGTCTCATTTTTCCTCTGACTTCCTCAGAGTGGGGGAGGTAGGCTGAGAGGGTACACTACCTGAATCCCACAATGCTATGAAGAACTGTCTCTGCTTTATTTCTGTGTTAAAGATTTCTGAGTGAATCCCAAAACACTTCATCCAACACTAGTGAATAAAGGGCCGAATAGTGTACTTACAGGAATTTTCCCATTAAACTTATTACATAAAATGACAATATATTATTCCTTCTAACCATGTGGGAGACAGATATTTCTGACCTTAATCCTGACTCAATTCTGTTATTTTAAGATATTTAAGCCTCATTTTGCTCAACTGAAAACAGGGTAGGATTAGCTGGTGATTCTAACCAAGTATCTTCCAATTCAATATGAAATCAGTTCAATAAGAAAAAACAAAGAGGCTCTGAAGCAGGGCTTATGAGTTTCTCCTACGAGGGTCTGGCTTGAATGGAAGGATTTGGCTTAGTGAAAGGCTCAGAGGCATTTCCTATCTTCCTGAGCCAGAGCACATAGTCATCAAATCCTAGAATGTCATAGAAAAACAGGGATCAAATTTATCTCCTAATATTACAGATGACAACACTTGAGGGCCAGGGATAGAAAGTGACTCCATCAAGGTCACACAGTGAACTTTATCAGAGTCAGGACTAAGAGTCATTATTAGCAGTCCTTGGTTGACTTCATTCATTCATTCAATCATTAATAAGTAATTAATCCATCCATCCATTCATCCACTCATTCAACAAATGCTCATTGAAGAACTACTATGTGCTGGACACTTTGCTGGGTGGGGCATTGCAATGGTGCATAGGACACTGTGGCTGCCCTTCTGGAGCTTATGTTAGTGAGGATAAGACCAACTGCCATCATGGGCACCTGCTTTTTCCAGCAGACTGGGTTTTGCAACCTTCAACTCTTGACCAAAGCCATCTGAGCTTCCTTGCCCACTCTTCCTCTTTCTCTTCATTTTTATCTATTCGTCTGCATCATTTCCTTTATTTCTTCACAGCCACACCCTTTTAGGACTGTTCAGGTTTGCTGGATTCCCCTAGCTTTCCAGCAGTAAATGTTCAGAGCCCTCCTAAACATATTCCTATTCATGAATTTATAGGACATATCTTCATTTTTAAAGGCACAACCCTTCTTCTGTGAGGAGTTCCTTAACCGGGTGCCAGGGATTGGGTCAAAAAGCTTACTTGGGTAAGAAAAGAGCTTCTTAAATAAAAATAAATCCTTATAAAAATTTAAAATTCTATTTTCAGCATATATATTATAATGTAATCTTACATATTTGCATATATGCATAGTATCTACACTGCTAGTATATTTATTTTCAGGGTGTGCACAAACATTTTTTAATGATCTGAGTGCACAAGCAAATTTGGAAACCACTTCCTTAGGAAATGACCTTTGAGAATTTCCTCCTACTCCCTGAACATCCTGTACCTTGAGATGACACATCACAAATCTGTGCATCAGGTGGTTCCACTTGGACTTCTTAAATATGGAAAGATGACCTGTGTCATGCTGCAAAAATGAACTCTGGGCCTAGAAGAGATAAAGTTGTTAGAGGAGCTGAGAAGGGATGAAAAATTAACAAATGAGTCCACTAGTTGATTCAGGAGCCCTTTTGGGAAGAACAGTAGGAGATTTCATCTGACCTCAAGGCAAATGCACTTTCTGTTTCCCACACATAGCACATTCTGTCCTGCCTCTGTGCCTTTGTGCAGGTGGTTTCCTCAGCCTAGAATGCTCTCTTTGCCACCACCATCAAAATCTTCCAGTGTGGAGTGGAAAGAGCATGGCCTTTGGAGTCAGGAAGATGTGGGTTCTAGACTGTTCTTCACCACTTTTGAGCTGCAGGATTCTTAGCAAGTTATTAGTAGCTCTGAAACTCATCCTCCATCTGATAAGCAGGGATAATAGCACTTCACTCTTTGGGCTGTTGTGCAACATAAATACATGTAAAGTTCTTGGCCAAAGTTTGCTTCTTTTCTTGCTTCTAAAGTTGCTTTTCAGGGAATCGTGCAATGTGGCTTTCAAGAAAAAATTTAATATAAAATATTCTGGAATTAACAGTGATGTTAATTCCCCATAAAACCTTCCCCATTTGTCCCATTCAGAATTAAATGCCTTTTTCTGCTCCAACAGCACATGCTTGTCCCTCTCCTTGGCATCAATGTCATTCTGTCATGTAATACGTTTATATACTTCAATGGCAATCTTCCTCACTGGATGGCTCATTTCCAAGGCAGGGACCAGCTGCATTTCCCTTTGTGTCCAAAACACAGTGTTGTGCTCATAGAAGGCTATGTTCAGATACTCATATTTTAGTCAGCAAAGATTTATTGAGTCTACATGCCAGGTGTTGGTTGTCATTTATGGCAGAATCTATATGTTCTTATTCTCATACTAGAGGCCCGGTGCATGGATTTCTGCACCGGTGGGGCCCCTCAGCTTGGCCTGTGGGGATCCAGCCAAAACTGGCTCTCCGAAATCCCCCAAAGGGTCCTGGATTGAGAGAGGGCAGTTCTTGGGTGATGCACCCCAGAATCAGGCTCCCTCCTCTCTGGTTCTGGGTGCATCACCTGAGAACTGCAACTGCCAAGTCACAGCAGCTTGGCAGCTTCTGAGTTGAGTGTCTGCCCCCTGGTGGTCAGTGCATGTCATAGCTACCAGTCAGATGGTCGAATGGTCGGCCGGTCACTTAATCTTTTATATATATAGATAAGATGTATTCTCTGCTCTTGAAGAATTCATGGTCTATGCATTGATAAATGTTGGTTGGTTAATGAATGAAAAATAAAGATGAATGTTACGTGACTGAAAACTGAACTTCTGTGGACAAAATTGGGTAAGGAGTAGCAACTGTCATAAATTAAATATTTGCATTATGCCAGTGATTGTGCTAGGTGGTGTTCACATTAACTTGATTAGTCCTCCTCAGAAGATTTTTATAAAAAAATTGTTATCCCCCCATTTTACAGTCAAGAGAACTTGGGCCCAGCAAGGTTTGATAATCTGCTGGGTCAGACACCAATGAGTAGCTTGCCAAGAAGTATCCAGCAGCAGCTGACATCAATCTAAAGAGAGAAGAAGAAATTCTGAACCTTCCCCCAAAGCCATTGTCTGGGCTTAGGATACCTGCTTACCTGAGAAATTGTGAGAAGAAAGGAAATACATATTGTAATTGGCCAGCCATTGCCAAAATGCCACAGCATTAGCCAAGCCAGCGCTTCCAAAATCAAGATCTGGATGAGGTGAAGGGAAAAGAACCCCAGGTTGGCACTGAACATGTTCATAGCCTCTAATGTCCTCCGCAGTTCTTGGAAATCCTCCACCAACTGGGCCTGTGAAATATTCAAGGAGGAAATTAGTTCTTTCAGGAGAAAGAAAGCTCAAATGATCATAATTACTAATATATTTTATTTAGTTATTAATACCTTAATTTTATAAATCGAAATTTATTAGTATTAATATATTTAATAGGGCAGAATTAAAAACAAAAAACAACGAGCCAAAAAAAATCCTTTGAAAAATATTATGATAATTTTTTTTTCTTTAGAAAGGAGAAAGATGAGGAGTGGTTTGTCAACTGTCCTCAGGCTGCATGGAACTTAGAATTAATGCCTTTTTTTGAGGGGGGTGGTGGTCAGTAAAGATATACAAAAGTCAGCCTGGTCAGCGTGGCTCGGTGGTTGAATGTCGACCTATAAACCAGGAAGTCACGGTCCAATTCTCCATCAGGGCACAGGTGGGCTCGATCCCTAGTTGGGGGCGTGCAGGAGGCAGCCGATCAATGATTCTCTCTCATCATGCTTCTATCTCTCTCTCCCTCACCCTTCCTCTCTGAAATCAATAAAAACATATTTTAAAGAAAGATATACAAAAGTCTAACAGTTGTTTTCGAAACAATCAGTATTATTTCAGGTGTTGACTGACTTCTGGTTATGCTTTGGAGAACTCTGTTGTCTGTATGGGTCTGTGTTACCATAGATACTGGTACAGTTTACAAGTGATATTTTACAGTTTCAAAAAAGTATTTTTATTGTTGACAGTATTTCAGTTTCTGCCCCTTTGTCCCCTCCACCTGGGCCCTGCCCCACCTCAGGCCTTCACTTCACTGTTGTCTGTCCATAGGTTATGCATAGATGCATATAAATTCTTTGGTTAATCTCTTCCTGCCCTCCCACCCTCCTTTCCCTCTGAGATCTGTCATTCTGTTACACTGTCAGTTGTTGATATGTTCAAAGGGCTGGTTCATAGAAGATGATGAAGATAAGTAGACATAGGTCACTTAGATTAGCTCAGTGGATGAATTCACTGTGAGATGCTCAATAGAGCCCCAGAAACAAGACAGATCTCTAGTGGCATTAGAGTGTCTGCTTGCTGGAAAGGTCCTGGTTCTGTGCACATGCACCGGGCATATGTGCATGTGTGTGTATGTACAATGCTAGCCTCCATTGTCACATCATACTAGAGAGCCCGCGCAAAGACGGGGCAGAAATATCTCTTAGCTTAATGACTATTATGGGGTTGAAACCAGGCCTGTTGGGAAAGTAACAAGGGTATAAGAAAGATCAGGATTGTTCAGATGTAAGAAAGGAAGAAATTTGAAATAAAAAGGAGCTAAGAACATAATTCTAGAAGTCAAACAATTTCATTTAAAAATTCACTGATGCAACGTTTAAAGGATCTACTGCCTGGGAAAAATCTGGATGGGCTCATCGATGAGGCCCTCATCAACCCTGGAATCTGGAGGCCATAGATCATTTTAATAGGTCATCTCCAGAGTGCCTCAGAGCTTGGTCATGTTTTCCAACCTATTTATTTACAGAGACAGGGTTGCCAAAGCCCAGAAGAGTGATTGGTCTGAAACCATCAGCAAGTCAGTGACAGATGCCGAATTTAAACTTACGCTTCCTGACACCCAGTTTTGTGCTTAAACAGTAATTGTCTACATATATATATATTTGGGTAAATACAAGATAATCATTTATTGTCTAAAAGAGTGTTGATCTCTGGGGGTAACCCTAAATTTTCTTTAGTTTTCTATCCATCTGTACTTACATATGTATCTTCACATAGATGCACTAAAGAAAATTTATGGTAGATTGTTACCTCCAGAAACCAACACTCTTTTAAAAAATGAACACTTATAGCTCTTAGCCATTAGTGGGAGTTTCTTTTCCCTAGAGAATATTTTTGGGAAAAAACAAAGCTTTGCATCATCTTCCTCTTTTAACTCAGGGCCTCCTGCCCTAAGTGATATAAAGTTCATGATAATGATAGCATCTAAAATTTATTGAGCATTTACTGTGCTCCAGACACTGGTCTGAGCATTTAAATGCCTTTAACTCTTTCCATAATGTTCCAACAACTCTGATGATGTTGGTTCTATTGTTGCCATTTACACAAAGAGAAGCTGAGCTGCAGAGAGTTTTGGTAAATGGCCTAAACTTAAACAAATTATGGCAGGGCTAGGTTGTGAGTCTAAGCTGTCTACCCTCAGAGCCCACCCTTCTGAACACAGAGCCATGCTTCTTGACACACACAGCCTTGTGGGATGCACATGGATCTAAGCAGTGGTTCTCAACCTTCCTAATGCTGCAACCCTTTAATACAGTTCCTCATGTGGTGGTGACCCCAACCATAAAATTATTTTCGTTGCTACTTCACAACTGTAATTTTGCTACTGTTATGAATCGTAATGTAAATATCTGATATGCAGGATGTATTTAAGCGACCCCTGTGAAAGGGTCGTTCGACCCCCAAAGGGATCGCGACCCACAGGTTGAGAACCACTGAGTGAGCTGAAGTGTTTGTCTCAGGTCTACACATAACCAGTTCATTCTCAGATTCTCCCTGGACCTCCGTGAGTTTGATTCCTCATTTCTTAAAGTGGAAATATAATCCTTATTCTACCTGCCTCACAGAGATAAATGGGGTCAGCACTTTGTACAAATTATTTCCAAAGAATTATAAAGTTTATTAGCTATTTATTAGCTGAAATCCCTTTAAGCTTTATGTAAAATCATCCTGGTGATTTTTAATCTTATAGAGACCCTGTCCTTTGGAAGACAATGCTCAGGTAGCCAAAGTATTGGAGGAAGAAAGAGGGATGTCCTTCCTTGGGAATCCCTAATGGATAGAGGTCAGAAAAGAGTGACTTGGAGTCTCAGTATTTCAGCACACCAGCTGTGGGACTTTCAGAAAGGAATTTATTTTCCCTGGACTATAATTTCCCCAAATCTCAAAAGGGCAGTAGTCAGAATATAGTCACATCTTTGATGCAACAGGTATTTATGTAGTTTCTATTATATGTCTGATCTTGTGCAGATGAGTCCTGAGGACATAGGGATAAGCCACATAGACACAATCTCTTATCTCATGGAACACAGTGTATCAGGGAGCATAGACATAGACATTAAACTAATAATTACAAGCAGTCACTGGCAAAAATTATATGTATAAATTACCTGGCATGGAGTAGGTGTTTAGAGACATGGAATTACTATTTGGCACAGGACCAAACATTCTATTCCTTTGTTTCACAGAGGTTTCAGAGTTCTGAGTGGGAGGAGAACATTGTTTGGAAATATGTGGCATCCACTTATTCACACTACTGCAGGTCCACCCAGGCATGATGGCTGGGTGCTCACAGAAAATGATAAGTTGAACCTGAAATATACCTTGGCCCCATCCCTTCACATACTCTTGAGGCCTGAGACATCACTCACGTTTTTGTTTCTCTCCTGGCTGGGCTCTCCTGGGGCAAGCTCTCCAATGAGCAGTGGCTTAAGGTACAATCGTGCAATGTCAATCTCCAGGTGCATGGCTCTGAAGACATCCTGTAGACCAGAGGGAATTGTTGGAGGCTAGAAGAGACATGCTTATCTACAGATTAGTCCCTTTCCTGACCTCACCCTGTGCCCATCTTGAGAACCAACACAGACTCTGTTGTAGAGAATTTCCTTACAATTCCTGGTTGATGCTTCAAGTGGACTAAGCAAAACTACCCTTGGAAATACTCTATGAAAGCTGGAGATCCACCTACTGAATGAACTGAGTCACTAGGCAAGTCCAATGTAGCCAGATTACCCCCAAGAATTGGAAGAGACCTCTATTTATATTATTGAGAACCAGAAGAAATAGTGACTTGAGTTTATGGGCCATGATAAATCTTTCAAGTCCAACATCATGCTTGGGGTTGAAGTTGCTTACACTAGCTAAGGCATGCTGCAATCAAGACTGGCTATGCAGATCATGTCTTCCATCCAAGTCTGCTGCTGGGTTCTTAGCCAAGGACCAGAGGAATGGGGTTCTTGAATTAAGTTATTTAAAAAACAAAACCAAAAACCACAATGTTGATAATGGTTGTTTAAGAAAAATATGGAAGAAAGTATGGGAGTATAGCCCTTGAGCTCTGGGTTATCTGGAGTAGCACACTCTTGGCTAAGTTTGTCACTGATCCTAAAAACATGAGGCAGTATCTGCAGGGGCTTGTGGTAGCCAGACACAGAATTGAGTTGATCAATTATATTTTTCCATCTCAGGTCCCTTGCTAAGTAAAGATTTCAAATGGCTATGAGAAGCAGCAGTGGTTCCTATATCATGCTTATATTTGGAAGTGAGAGATATCCTCTTCCTTTGGGGATTTAAAGTTTTGGAGGGAGGGGGATTTTCTAAGAGGAAGGTGCTAGATGGCTTTGGGGATGAGGGTGATTAAAAATGAAGAAATATAAACAAGGTTGTAAATTGAATACATGGAAACCATATACATTACTCTGAGTTATGTTGTTGCATAGCACTAATTAAGTAGACACAGGAGCAACCTTCCTGTATATAAATCCTAGCTTTGCCACCTACTAGCTGTGTAGTTGTGGACAAGTCTCTTGACCTAGTTATACTTCTCTTTTCTCTAACATGAAAGTGATGATAATAGCTGCTCAAGTCAGAAAAGAATTATATGTATTAAGTGAATTAATTAGAATATGGTCGGCAGATAGACAATTCTCAGTATATGTTAGTTATCTTTCTTGTATATCTCTAGTGATAAGAACTTACTACTTATCTTCTCTGCATGCAGCAATTCAGATATTTTATTCCTATACTCGAATTTCTAATGTGTTGTGAGCTCTCAATTATTTTGCTAAATATGATAAATTCACCATCTTTAAATCATAGAGCAACTTTAGACATAGCCAAGATCTACTTATAAAAAGGTGCTTATATAATGAATAAGGTTAATTGGAGATCTACAATATCAACTCTTTGGATTTATTTCACCTAGATTCACTGATGTGAAAAGAGATTTGTATCTGCTAGAAGCAGTCCAAGTTCGACTGTCCATTCTGCTTCTGCACACCTCCTCTAATCCCCTTGGAAAATGCCAAACTATATGATTTGAAAGGTGTTTTTTATTGTCACATTCAATGATTCTGAAACTTAGTTCCCCTAACCATGAAGAGAATCATTTAGTGATTAAGAAGGTGATTAAAGTATTTCCTGATGATCCAGACTGAAAAATCATGGTCTGCTTGCTGTTTGGGAGCAGATTAGAATGAAAACCATTCTGATTGATAAAGGTCAGAGTGTAAAGGAGAGGTAAGCTATTGCAATCTCATCTTAGTCTGGAACAGTCATCCAAAGTCCTGGAACAGTGTGCTGACAATCACATTCCTCTGGGTTCATTGTTTTTTCTGACCCCCCTGCAAGTTTCACTAGTCAGTATGTGACAGCAGGGACTGAAGACCTACACAGTGTTCCAGAGCAGTAGGCATTGCCCTGCTCTGTGGAATTCTTTTCATTGTGTTGATGGGCAGTACAATAAAAAAGTTTAGCTAGTCTTAGAATATTTGATTTAGAAGAATTTCCTAATAGAGACTGAATGTTGAGTCAGTTGTGAAATTCCCTCCTGAAAGACCTGCAAAAACGAGTTCTGTTACCAACATTCTTGGGCAAGTATGTTCCTCCTGAAGGAAGGAGAGGGGATAAAATGAAAGGGAAAAGAGATGCTGCCAATATTTATTGAATGTATCCTATGTACAGGGTGCTCAATGGGCCAATTCACAATCATCATCTTAGTGCTGTGGGGTTTCATTGATTCTGTTGTAAAGTTAAAAAAACCATGTCTCAGAGAGGAGAAATGTCTGGCTCCAAATGCCACAGTGAATAGTAGAGTCAGGATTTGAATTCAGGGCTTTGTGCCTTTAAAGCCATGAAGCTGTAAAGGTCCATTCCAGCCTTACCATGTATATGTATTTTTGAAAGGCCTTTCAAGAGAGGAGCATCATCGGATTGTTTGGGGATGGTGCTAAAATCAGTATGTATTTGCTAAGTATAGAGTAATGGTGTCTCTCCACCCTAGGTTGTAATCATGTGAATCACTTTGCTTCTGGTTTCAACCTCTCTCCCTAGGCTTAGCTTTTATCATACCCTTCATGAACCATGTTATTCACTGGATCTCTCTCAATTCAATAAACATTTCATGCCTCTTCATGGTTCTGCAGTTTTGCACTGTTTCCTTGCCTTCATTGCCTTCCTCTGCTTTCTCTACACAAAAGCTCTCTTCACCCTTCACGATTCAAATGAAATATTTCCCCCATGAACCCACCCAGGAAAATTATTCATGGTCTCCTCTGGCCTCCTATGACACTTTGTTCCTAGAACCTTTCAAATTATATTGTAAGCAATCTGTGTCTCCACCCCTTCTCTAGTGGCCTTTGAGTTTTTTGAAGATTGGGACCATGTGCTATTGATTCCATTATACATAACATCTATCAGTATGCCTGGAGTATGGCATGTGATCATGGATGTCTTATGGGTAAGGGAAATGAATGAATAAATAAATATAGGGTTTTTCTTTTTTCTTTTTAGTCCTCACCTGAGGATATTTTTCCATTGATTTTTAGAGAGAATGGGAGAGAGAGAAAGAGAGAAACATTGATGCAAAGGAAACACATTGATTCGTTGCCTCCTGCACAAGCCCCAACCAGGGCCCTGGCTGAGGATGAGCCTGCAACGGAGGTACAAGCCTTTGGAGGTCAAACCCAGGACCCCTTGGTCCACAGGCCCATACTCTGTCCACTGAACCAAACTGGCTAGGGCTGAATATAGAGTGTTTATAACAAGGAGAAAGTTGGGATCATCAAAGTGTTGAACTCAGAGGATATAGCTCTTAAGCACCACCCTCCCCTTCCTATCCTCCGTATTTCTCATTTTCTGACCTTTCTGCTGCTTTAGCCTCTCTCCTTTTCATCTGTTAGCCTTTTGAATTACCTTTCAACCATCATCTGTACTCCTAAACCTATTCATAAATTTATATCAAAATTAATTATTTTCAAAACAGAAAAATGTTATTTTCACAACTAGCTTGGAAATCCTGATAATTTTTTCTGCTTCTTAATGGGAGACAACAAGATGTGCTTTACTGTAAAAGCAGTATGATTCCTAGTGGAAGAGAAAAGTACGTAATGCCAGAGACAAAATCTTGCCTTTACAATTCAAGTACTGTATCCAGGTTGTGCCCTGCATGAAGGCACCCAGCCAGGAGGGAATGTATGGGCTGAAATTCAGCCAGCACTCTGCTTGCCAACTCCTCAGCTGCAACCACCCACAGTCACTGTGCAGGCTAGTAGGGGAGCAGGCTGGTTTATATTGGGAAGATTACTTCATCTTTTTTTCTAAATGTGAATAATACTACTACTCAGTCTGCCCCATAGGTTCGTTAATTCCTATGTTCATTTATTTAGTCATTCCAAAACCGATTGAGAATCTAGATAAGTGGTTAAGCTTTGGAATCAAACAACATTAAATGACTGCATTTTTATATTATTTAATTGATCTGAGGTGGGTTAAAATTTCCCAAAATTCAGGAAAGAAAAAACTGATGACAAATGTCTGCATGAATCGCAAAACAAAATAACTAGAACCTGATTTACTCCAGAAAAGCTCATCAGAATATTTAATGCCCAACCACAGACACCCATCGAGTAATTTCTTCTCTGCTCACCCTTTTCAGATTTCATCTGCTCCAAAGCAATGACTAGAACAAGTTTGCCTCATATTTTGGGTAAAGCATGAGTTGTGAGTAGGCCGATTTGTGAGGAGAATGCAATTTTTGCTCTTTTCTTGGGAGAGAACCAATTTGGAGTAGAGAATGTCACATGAACTCACCCAGATTTCTTTTCACCCTCAGGGATAAGCAGAGAGTTATTTTTCTCACTGCAACTCATTCTATTTCTTGAGAACTTTCAATAGTTGAAAACTCTTCCTTATACTAAGATATTTTTTCTATGATACTTTCAGCTGAGCTTGAGCCCAAAACTATCTCTCTCTTTCCACTCTCCCTACAAACTGTCTCCCCTGTCCCATAATAGATATCATCACCTAGTTACCTAAGCCCGATATCCATAAGTCAGTTTAGAGTCCTTCATCCTTTTTACTTACGCAGTCACTCATAAGTGAATGAATGACCTTTTATGAGGAGGATGAAGACTTGGGGAAGAGTCGCTGTGTAAATAAATTAAAAAAAAAAAAAGGCGCGCACTCTGGACAGGTGTAGTCATGAGTCCAGGGCCAACACAAAGAGACTATTTTGGGGTCCACATTTTCCTATCAGGGCATAAGCTACAAAGACCTCTCAAGTCATAGAGAGAGTATTGGACATCAAGGTCTCTGACTTTGTTCTGCCCTCCTTCCCTAGAGAGCATGCTGCCCTCCACCTTGTACGCTCTGTTTCCAATAGATGGCACCCAATAGAATCAGGATTTCTAAGCTGGTAGTGAACAGAAAGTAATAATCATACCCCGGAGCTATGGATGTCAGAGATATGAATAGTTGTAGCTACAATGGAATGGAACTTCATTAAAGTGTCCGACATGGTTCTGAACATTTTACAAGCATCAGTCCCATTTACCATAAACCAGTTAGATGGGTAATGCCGATCGTGAAGCTGAGGTGCAGAGCATTCCAATAACGTTCCCAGGTTCATCGAAGGACCCCAAATCCCAGGCTCTCCATTCACTGAGTAGTCACAGCATGTTGTGGTTGTCAGAATTTCCCCAGCACCCTCCCAATCTTCTTGAGCCACCTTCCCTTGGAAAATCTTTTCTCTGAACATTTTTGGATTCACTTTCCTAATATCTGAGGTCCATGACTGAGCATGTTCAGGATTTTCATTCTCAGGATATGAACCCTAAGGTGGCATGAGTATTTTAATCTGGGGTCCTGATAGTTTCTATTTTATTAATCAATTCTCCTTATTGGCTAGAATTAGATCAGAATCACATCTTTTCCTAACTTCTGGGAGGTAAAAATTATCAACAAATTAGAGATTTATCATCTAAGCTGCCTCTGGCTTAGAATTTATCCATGATTTTCACAGTGGCTGAGACCCATGTCTTTGTGAACACATCCTCTGAGTTCATTCTGTGACTTGAGTTAGGAAAGCAACAACCATATTTTCCCTGAGTTGTGGGAATGTGGGAAGGGATACTTAGGGATCTGTAGTATTTTTTATGCCATTTTATTTTTGTTACTTTCTCTTTCTATTCTTGCACACATTATTTCCACCTCACTTCTATCCTCAGCTCTCTGGATTCCTACCCACCATTTATCTTCCTGATACAAAGGTACTCCCAGCCCTTGCTACAAGCACAGGTTCATTTTCTCAATAAAAGGTTGAACTTTGTTTAAAACATATGTCTGATGGAAGTGTTGGGGAAGTAGCAAGGTATGTTCAGAAATGTATTTGCCTGACTGTAGAATCAAGATATGAAGATGGTGGAAGAAGAAGAACCTACTCCACATATTAATTTTCTGATTTTGGGTTAGTTAGAAATTTTTCTAATATGTTTTTACTGATTTCTAGAGAGAGAGAGGGAGAGGAATAGAGAGATAGAAACATGAATGAGAAATATTGAACATCTGCCTCCTTCACCCCCTCTAGTGGGGATTGAGCCCACAACCTGGGCATGTATCCTGATTGGGAACTGAACAGTAACCTCTTGGTTCCTCGGTGGACACTCAACCGCTGAGCCATTCTGGCTGGACAAGGTTAGTTATATCTTTTTACTCTCATTTCTTCAACTGTGTAATGTGGGCAATAAAATTTCTAATTAGCAAAAAATAATCTTCCTTATAGAATATTTTAAAAGGGCTTCCTAAATGCATCTAAGGATTCAAAAGACCTTCCTATTAAATGTTAAACGGAAATTTTATTTGTAAGGACTCAGCTCCAAAGGTTTTTATGGTAAAACACCTCCCTGATTTCAAAATTTGGCAATATTGCTTGGTGGCTGTGTGCATTATTTGCCTCTTTGAACATTAATTTTCTCATCTGTAATATGGAGATGGTATCCACCTTCCCCATGGTGAGGTTTAAGTGAGGTGATGCATTTGAATGTGTCTAAGGTATTCTAGGCATCCAATAAATGTTACACTATTTTATTTCCTTTGCTGCTTTGGTGGGGGAGGGTGATGAGGAGAAGTAGTGAAGAAAAGGGGAAGATTGGAAGCCAAGAAAGATAAGTTTTTGAATCTGAGCTCTGTTGTTGGGTGACCTTGGGCCAATCAGTTATCTTCTCTGATTTTAATTTCTTCTTCCATAAAAGTGAGTTGTATGACCTCTTTGACACTGAATGAGCGGCAGGACTCATAGAGCTCTGCAAAGCCTAAAAGCCTATGTCATTGTAGGCTTTCACCATTGTTATTAACAACATTCTTACTGGTATGCTTAACAGATGAATCACTGACTTCCTTGTAAACACTCCAAATTAAAGAGCCTGAGAAATTTATACTTGGGTACATTTTTCCTCCCCCAGATTTTACTCACCTATTTGTAACTTTCTTCTTACAAAACAGAAGCTCCATTTCAAAGCAAAACACCAAGAACAGAAGGAAAACCAGACTACGCAAATATAGTACCCACTGTCCACATCTGAGCTCATCCCAAACCTGATTCAGATCATAGCTAGACCTTGAGGCTTACGTTGCTTCCGAATCCTTGCCGGACAGGAATCCTGAAAAATTAGTTTGGGAGGAGATGAGCACCTCTTGACATGCTTTTGGGAAGAGAGTCAAGGTCCCACCCACCCAGCAGCTGGAACGGAGAGAGGACAGAAGTTGGCGTTCCTTACCGTGGCATCTTCCCCCGCGTAGTGGTTGAGAACCCGCCGGCCGCCTGGATGTCGGTCTGCCCAGCTAGTAACATCGTAGACCTTGCGATTGATCACCAGCCACTGGTCGGTCTCCTGATTGTGTCTCTGGATCTCCTGCCAACTGTACAAGTTGAGGCTCTTTCTAGGTGTGTCTCCGTTCCCATCTGCCTCCTGCTTTGGGGAGACCTGTGCTTTCCCGTTTGCTTCTGGCTTGTCGTTTGCCTGATGCTTCTCCCCCAGGGGCAGCTGAGTCTTTCCTACCAGGCTCCCACTGCCTGCATGTTTTTCTTCAATCTTCATCATCACAGAACCCCTGGGATTTCTGGGTTGACTCCTGAAACTTCTAATCCTCACCTCTGATTGGATCATAAACTAATCCCTCGTTCCCTTTTATTCCATTTGTAGTATGATGCCTGCACAGAACACTTCTTTTTAGCCTAACTTTCTCTTCCCAAACTTGACCAGCCTCTCACTTCTGTCTGTCCTGAATCTTTTCTGCCCGGATGGAGGCTGAACCACCTTTCTCTCCTCACTTCTCTCCCTGCTGGCTGGTCACTTAGCAGCATCTGTCACCATTAAGTCCTTAAGTAAAGAGTTGTGACCAATGGTAGTCCGGCACAATGTTGTTGCCTGCCCCCTTCCCCACCCCCCAAGAGGAGGGGCTAGGCTCTGTCAAAGTGACTTTCTGCTCTGCATCAAGGTGGGTTGGGTTCCTAACTCTCTGAATGAAACATTCAGATTTCTTAATTCAACATGTGAACAGAAGCTTTCAAAATCCCCAGGATGACATGAATGCTTCATGGACTTGACAGCTATTTCTTCCCAGGGCTTTTAAACTTTTTAAAAATACTTTTTGTAAAGGCTTATATTTACCAAAAGAGCATGTCAACAGTAAACCAGTTTCTCTCTTTTATTTCCCTTTGAAAGCTGTCCAAATCTGCCAACACACCTGAAAGTAACAGCCACAGCTGTTTGCTAGAACACATGATTTATTTACAAAACCCTGGCCATGTGCTTTATCTGGTTGAATCCTCACATTAACCTTTTGAGGGAGGTGCTGTTAGTGTCTCATGTTCCAGGTGAGAAAACACTGGCTGAAGACCTCAGGTAAGATGAGCCACAATCACCTTATCAGTGAGAAGTAAATCCAGATTTTCTGATTCCAAGTCCCGAACTCTTTCCATTCGGTTCTCTGAATCTAGGGTCTAGACATAACTTGACTTGGTGGTTTAGAAATGAGGTGAAGAAGAGATTACAGGGTGATGGTGGTGGCGGTGTCTTAATGTTAAAAAGAAATAATAGAAAAAACCTATTTTCATATTTAGAAATTGATACTGAGTAAATAAATCATCAGTGTTTCAGCCCAAGATTTATATACTCAGGGATTTATTCCATTATGATTTATGATTTATAAATGTTAAAAATCAGCAATGGCTTAAATTTCCAACTATAAACAAGGCTGTTTTTTTGATGTATAAATGGAATATTTTATATATATATATATATATATACACACACACACATATATATAATATTTAATTACATGGACTAATGTTTGCAAAATAAGAAGTAAAAAATTAGTAAATAATATTCTGCTCATGATTGGAGAAAAAAATGTTAAAATATTGGCATTAGTTCTCCCTGTTATTAAAGCTTTTTCTTTTTTAATTCTATGTGGTCCTTTAAATTTTTTTTTTTTTTTTGCAAATGAAGACATGTTACTTTTATAATTTAGATAAAGCAGGATTTTGTTTTCTTAAATAGGGAACCCAAGAAAGAAAGAAAATGCATAGATTTTGGAGCTAGAAGAATCGGGGACCATATTTGAGCTCTTCTACTTACTAGCTGTACAACATGATGTGAATTACTTTACTTCTTTGGTTTTTCATTTTTCCATCTGTAAAGTGAAAAAATAAACACAATTCTCAGAACTACATTAAATTAACATAAGTGTTACGGTATTTACAGAAACCCTCAGTAATTTCCATAATTTCTGTATGGGAGTTTTATAAATCCAACATAAATACATTTGGTATTCAGAAGCTACATTTATAAGTCCAGGATAGCTCTGGAATTTCAGTATAAGTGAAGTTTGAAGACAATAACCTGGTTGAAAGTTTGTGGGAGAGGGAGTTCAGGGAGTTTGCCTGCTTCGATATCAAATAGACTTATAAAGATAGCTCCTCATTTCTTTAAAACATTTGTACTTGTTTTGTACAGTCTCTCTGAAGGCCAGGAGACTGTTTACAATCCTGGAAATAACAAACTTTGGAGCCAGAAATATCTCAGCTGAATATTCTTACACAAGATTCTTATTATCTCTGTGCCTCAGTTTTGTTAGTTTATAAAATGGGGTGAACAGAAACTACACTCATAAGTTTGCAAAGAAGATTAAATTCTATTATGTACTAGAGGCTTGCAGTCTGGGAGCCCTCGGGGGATGTCTGCCTGCTGGCTTAGGCCTGCTCCCTCTCGCAGTCTGGGACCCATCACTACTTACCACCCACCTGCAGCGGAGGTGGGAGAGGTTGTGAGCCCAGCTTCTGGCTGAGTGGTGCTCCCCCTGTGGGAGTGCACTGACCACCAAGGGGCAGCTCCTGCATTGATCATCTGCTCTCTGGTGGTCAGTGCATGTCATAGTAACCAGTCGTTCTGTCGTTCAGTCTTTTTGCATATTAGGGTTTTATTATATAGGAAGGGAAGAGGTTAGCATAGTACCTAATACCTAGAGGTTGCAATAGATGAAGCAGCTGTTATTATTGTTATTGTAGATATTTTTATTTTTGCTTTGGAAGGTAGTCACCTGTGTTTGTTATTCTTTCAGACCCACATAATTTTATTTGTTTTAAAAGAAATATTATAGAAAACACCTTCATTATTAAGGCCAGGAAGAGAGACCAGAGGTGTTTGATTATGAAAGGTGAAACTCTTTTGATTTTGCCTTTTGTCCACCCCCAAATAAAGGGGACATCTGGGACTTTTTAGGCTAGGAGTTCTGTTCTATCTTCTCTCAGGAGGAACTGACTCCCCATAATTTCATTCTTATTTTACTCAATTCTGTGGAATAAAGAGAGAAACAGGGTAGTGGAAGAGAAATGGATACATGTGAATGAAATTATAGCCTACCCAGCTGGTGCAGAGGGGTTAAGAACTAGTAGAAAGCCTATGTAGTTACCTAAATATTTATTTATGCTTGTTTGATTAATTGACTCCTTAAAGTGCATGCTTGAGATGTTTTCCTTCAAGATAAGAAAAGCCGTTAGCCCAGCTGGTGTGGCTCAGTCAGCCTGTGAACCAGGAGATCATGGTTTGATTCCCAGTCAGAGCACATGTCTGAGTTGTGGGCTTGATCCCCAGTAGGGGGCATGCAGGAGGCAGCTGATCAATGATTCTCTTTCATCATTAATATTTCTATCTCTCCCTCTCCCTTCTTCTCTGAAATCAATATATTAAAAAAAATTCTAAAAAAAGAAACAAGAAAAGCTGCTAGAAAACCTCCAGAGATCAGTTGAAATGGAACAGAGAACACTTCAATGGGCTCAATTGGAATTTCCTTCATTACACCCTCATAATAATACCAAAATCTCCCCCAGGTGAGGGCTTACCCGCTGTTTTCTGTGCACGTGATGCATATCTAGCCATGTCCATTTACTGTGCATGCTCACCCAAAACATACCTCAACATGCTATGATGTAAGCAACAGCCCTATAAAACCATCTGGTCTTTTGTTCTTGGCGAGAAACTGCTCAGAGAATGACCCCCAGTGCACTCTTTGTTTGCTGGCCAGCAATAAACTGTCTTGGAATGTGTTTTTGGCTGACCTCTACAAAGTGGCTGGACCCTATTCCAGTCAATAACAAAATGAGATTAAAAAAAAAGGAGCAGTTAAGAAAGAAGGAAGTGGTATGGAGTAAAGAAAGGAAGTGCCTATTACAGTGGTAAAAACTGACTAGGTGACGAGGATGCTGGTTACAGGGTGATCCCCAACTAACTGCTTGCCTTGTACCTTCACTGAGACTGAGTTTCCTTATATGTAGCATGGGAAGTTAAAATTGACAGGGCTCCAACGATGCTTTAAGTTTAATAGTCTATGAAAAGATGAGCGAACCTTCCTAACCTCATTTTATAGGGAAGTGTAACAATGGGCTTCTGTGTAGGTTTTGTGTACTAGTAAATAGCTGTAGAGTGTTGCTGGCCAACAGGAATGAACCTGCCCTTCCCAGAGGGACCTCTTGTGGTTTGGGAGCAGCCTAGAGCTAGTTCCTACAATGGCCTTGTCACAGACAGAGAGCACACGACCTTTTGCTTGCTGAGGGCCAGTCTCTCCCTTCTCATACAAGGCTCAGAAAGTATTCGTACTGGAGATTTTCTTAGCAAAAGTCCTCAGCACACTGTGCTCCCAATAAATATTCCTTTTCAGAATAGATGCAAGTTCGTCAGAACCTGGGTTTATGTTGGTTGTGTGCAAATCATTCCCAGATCAGCCTTCTGGAGATCTGATTCCCCCCAAGTAACTCATCTTCCCAATGATGTTCTAACTCTGGGGGAAATGAGGTAAGTGCCTCGTCTCAGAGGTAATGCTGAAGATTTTCTATAAGGATAGGATTCTGGAATATCAATCCCACACGTAGCTTTTTGAGAAGCTAGCATCTTTCACCAGTGAAGTCATTCGTTTATTTACAGATCAGTCTGAGCCTGTAATTGAGTAGCTTCCAGAGGGCTGGCATAATGCTCTTGGGCTTCATGGCTTTTTATAAAAAAGGTGAATGTTTCTGACCTCATTTTTTTTTATGGAAGTCAGAGTAGGGGTTAACCACGACTTGAATATATGTATTCACTTACTCAGGAGATTTGAGGTAGTATCCTTGGCCCAGACAGGTTAGACCAGGGCCTTCGGAATCTCAGCACCCTACCTCTCAGCCTGAAGCTTGTCAGACGCATATAGCAGTTTCTCTTGACATTAAGGACCTTTACAGAATTTATCAAAGCTTTACAAAGAATTTAGCATTTTCTAGTAGCCATGCTAAATAGCCTGGAGATGAGAGATGAATAAAACTTCCTTTTCTCTGGAGAGCATTTAGTTTCTTTTAGAGAGGCAGACTTCAAGAGTTCACATTCAGGACTATTGTGTCTACCTCTGTGAACTTAGATAAGTGTCTCAACCTCAGATTTTTATAAAATGGGGATGATGCTCATAATACTGAATACCTCATGGAATTTTTTTTTGTGAAGTTTAAATGTGTTAATTCATGTAAAGGGCTTAGCATGTATTAAGTTCTCTGAAAGTGCTAGCTACTAGTATTACTCTCTAATCTCTGAGTCAGCATATTATTCAACTGTAGCAAATATTTATGAGCCCTTGCTATGGCTATGTAGGGCATCTTTACAGTAATTCTGTTTTTTTTCTTCTTCTTTTTCTTCTCCTTCTTCTTATTCTCCTTCTTCTTCTCATTATTATTTTCAATTACAGTTGACATTCAATGTTATTCTGTATTAGTTTCAGATGTATAGCAAAGTGGTTAGAAAATCTAGTACTTTATGAAGTGGTCCCCCCTGGCTTTAAGTACCCACTACATAGTTATCTCGAAATTGTTGACTGTATTTCATATGCTGTAATCTACATGTCTGTGGCTATTTTGCAACTAATAATTTGTATTGCTTAATCTATTCGCCTTCTCACCCAGTCCCCCAACCTCTCTCCCCTCTGACAGCTGTCGGTCTGTTTTCTGTATCTATGAGTTTGTTTCTTTTTTTGCTTGTTTGTTTATTTTGTCCATTAGATTCCACATAGAAGGGAAATCATATGGTACTTGTATTTCACTGACTGGTTTATTTCACTTAGCATAGTATCCTCTGTTTTCTTAAAGGAAGTAGGAAGACAGTCAAGTGGGGAAGAAAAAGAGACAAGTGTGTATCAGTTTGGTAAGAGAAGTAGCAAAAAAAAAGGTATCCAAGAACAAACCACAGACTGAAGAAGCAGGTTGAGTTTTCCCCCTCACAGTGTTATGGGCTTGGTTCTCTGAATCATCTTCTACCTCTTGGAGTCTCGTATCCAGGCTCCTTGTCTCCTTTCAAATCAATACATGAACATTCTCCAATCTGCGATGTCATAAACCAACACAAATGGCCCATGTTATGCACAATCCTATAGTCATGTCCTCAAAATCAGAGCATTCTCTTTTAGGTAAAAAAATGAAAACATTTAAAAAGAAATTCTACAACAATCTATGCCACTTTTTGGTCCTGAGGATTCAAATTCTACTAAGAAAGAAAGAAAAACTTTGAAAACAGCACAGAGATTGAGAAAGCTCTGGTTTTGGCATCAGCAGGACTGATCATGCTTTTCTTCTTAAAAGCTGAGAACATTTATAGAAGTCACTTATCCTCTCTCAACCTCCATTTCCTTCTCCATTAAATTGGGTATAATGATACATATCCTGCCTATATTTTAAAGTGTTGTGAGGCTCAAAAGAGATAATAGAGATGGAAATACAGTTATAAAGCAGAAATTTGTTACAATAATTGTGATTTTACAGGAAATGCAAGATTTTCCCAAAGTATCCATGAGAACTCTTCCAACTGGATCCATTTTGCCCCAAATATAAAAATAATTGCTCTCCTTAATAACAGAATCATGCAGAATGTGGGACTGAGTGTAAGGGGATTTGATTCTTCTGTTGACTCGGTGTGATTAGTCGCTATCTACCTACCTATAATAAAGTGCTTGGAGCTCCATGAGGACTGACATTATTCATACAAGTGCCTGTGAACATACCCATTCTTATCACTGGCTGATCGGCTTTCCAGAGGATTCCTTTGGTTTGGGACACGCCCTGGCTCTGTGTGAATGGAACGACTGCATGAACTACACTCCCAATTTTCCCAGGGCAGCTGCTCTGGGTGCTGCTTTATCATTCAACAAAGTTTGTTTAAAAAACACCCCAATTACCTCCGGATGCTTTGGCTTGAAGAGTCTCATTATCTCAATGTGGACATTCAGGCAGGACTGCTTGAGTCACAGACGCTCCCAGCACTCACCTGGTCCCCTGTCAACTGGCAACTGGCTGGCCCAGGCCCTGCCATGGACAGGATCCAGGTGGGGCAGCATAGCCTTATATTCTCACAGACTCAACACAACCACATTCTTGTGGTGTCAGCTACTGCCTTATTTCATAGAGAGATAAAAGAAATGAAGACCTATTTCTGAAAAATAAGCATGGATACCCAAGACTTTGTGTTCACCTAGTCAAAGAAGAGATGAGGAAAGCTAGACGACAGAGTAGGAAATTACACTGTAAGGTCCAGGAGGGCAGGATTTTTGATTGTTTGGTTCATCACTCTATTTATAGAGTCTGAGCTAGCATCAGCTCCTCACTAAATATTTGTTATAAACAAGTGAATAAGTGCATGAATGAATGAGCAGAGGAATGGGACTGAGTTTCAGGTTTGCCAGTGACTTTGTTATTGTTGTTGTTATTATTATTAATATAGTAAAACAATGTTTTTCTTTTTATTGTTATTATTAGTTTGTTTTTTAGTGTCATTTCTCAGGCAGGGGAAATTAGATTCAGAGAGATTTAATAGCTCAGAGGGATTAGGTAGCTCAAAAATGGTGAAGTTGAAAATCACTCCTTAAACTTTTTTCTCCTAAAGACTCTCTAATATTCAAGGAAAACAAATAAATGCCCTAGTGGTCATGCTTCAAGTGGCTTCAAGTGACTGGTTAAAAAAGATTTATTTTAAAACTTCATGGAAACTTTGCTTTTTATTCAGTTATATCCAGTATCTCATCTCAATTTTGGAAAATCCTGTAAGTTTACCATGTGATTTCATGAGACCATTGGTCCATGAAACCCAGATTTGGTGAACCTTAAGGAATGCCATTTGGCCTCTGGGACATGGAAGCTACATTTAGAGGTGTTTATATATCCTTTCTACATACCCTATAGATGCATGGGGTCAACTGTGTGGGCAAATATTACTGTAACATGTTGATATATTGAAATGGACTCCCTCCCGCAACTAATGTCTTAATCTTTCTTCCCTCCTTTTCCTTCTCTTCTTCACTTTGCCATATCCTCTTCTTTTCCTCCTCTTTTCTTTATTCCCTATATTTTCCTTTCTTTCTTGGTCCTCTCAGAGATTAATAAAGTATGTCTCTTCCCCATGTCTCTTTAAGAGAAAAGATAGATAGCATTGTGTTTTTCAAGATCTCAATGGCTCTTTCTCTAAGTCATGTTTGTGAGTCTCTGTCTCTCTTAACCTTGAAGAAAGAAGATTTAACCGGTCAGAGTAAGCTGCTCTGCAAGCAAAATCTAAACAGGTCCCTGTGAAGGTAGCAATCTATTATGGTTCTCCATCCAACATGTGAGTAAAGGATACCACCTGCACAGTGACTGGCGGATTTAGCAGGAAGAGCATGATTTGTACGGAAGAAGCAAGCCTGAAAAGGCCAAGCCAGGAGAAAATGTAAATAGAATTAGCAAAGGATATGGTTCTGGGGTGAGTACTACTGTCCCCATTGTTGGTATTTGATTGAAGAGATAGAGAAATAAGAGGAAGAAATAGAAAGAATTCTTTAATTCCTATCCAGTTCTAAGGGGGGTGGGGTGGCACTGATCACATCCCTTGAACCAAAGTCCTAAGAATATGTAAGAAATTGTTCCAAAGTTGAAAGTTAACTGTCCACATGATGTGGTGCAATGTTTTCAAGACTAGTTCATGCTTCGGAACATTTCTCTGGAAAAATGTGGTTGGATTCTGGTTCACAGTCTCCATGGTGGGGTTCTGGGCTGAATGACAGGTGTAGTCAGCAAGAGTCTTTAACCAAACATAGTAGAATTGGCACCTTATGATTAGAGTGTACAACTATGCAAAAGCAGCATGTGGTTTTGTGGTGAGTGAGATTACACTGGAATTTCCTCTGCTAATTCTGTAAGATCCACCATAACATTGTCAGCAACATAATGCATGTGATCTTTCAATGGACTACTTTGTACCCTGGGCCAACTCCAAATCACAATGACTATGGCATGATGATAAATAATATGGGGTCTTCTCTCACAAGTAAAATGAACTCACCCAGGAATAGCACATCTGTTTGAAATAATGGTGATGAGGACAAGATTAAAACATTTATTAAGCACTCAAGATATGTCAGTACTACTTTAAACACTTTGCATGCATTACAAATGTTAACTTGCACAACAATCCTATGAGGAATGTACAGAAAATCTGACAACATGCCCAAGTGCACCCACCTCACAAGTGGTAGAGCTGGGAAGTCACTTATAAAGTGACTAATCTTTTAGCTACAGTTACGACTTCACCTCTCACCCATGAAACTTCCTTCTGCTACACAGACCTTAACTTTGTTTTCACAGTATGTTTTGTTTGGGAACCTCCCTATCAGTCTAAGCTGGAGAACTCCTTTGTATCCATTAAGACTCATTTAAGGAAATATGTGAAGATTTCTATGACTCTCTTGTGTTTGTACTTGGTACATGACTCCACCACTATAAATTATCATTTTGTGTCTACCTGGTTGTCTTCTTGAGTAAAGTGTAAGCACTAAGTGAAGCAAATTTATGCTTATTTCTTCTTCTTATCCTCAGGACCAGGACCAGGTCACTGCCTAATGAATGTTTTATGAGTGAATAATGAAAGAATAACTAAAATAACCTACTTATCTGAATAGAGCCAAAATTTGGACAGTAAGCAGGATAAAACTCTAGGCTACCCAAATGAATGGTATAGCATTTAAGCACTGAAGTGCATGGATGGCCCTCAGAGAGCTGTGGTTGAAATGTATCAAATTGTATATCCATTATCTCTTTCTAATGGACTTTCCCCAATCTCTCTCTGATGATATAGCTCCATTGGAGCAACTATGCCCTCGTAATGAGACACCTCTTTTCTAGGCCACAGTGGCTAGTCCAGGAGACCTACCCAGCCTAGGTTGAGCCAGTGAGCTTTTTTGGGGATTGACTACTTTCTTGAATGGAGGAGATGTACATTTAGACAGCTGTTGTCAATAGTTATTTTCTACCATTGGGACCAAAAATGTTCTTTGTTGTAAGGAGATACCAAGGAATGAAAGTCAGCATACATTCAGAAATATATCCTGGAGAGAACTCTAGTAGTACTCACCTGCTGAAATATATGAGTTCCATGAGAAAATGGCCATTTATATTGTGTTCAATACTCTATTCCCTGGTCTAGCATGATAAGCATTTCATAATAAGTTTTTTTTTTTCAGAGAATGAATAAGTAGGGTCCTGAGCAGAGAAAATATCTGAAAGAAGGAAAGGGACAGCTGCTGTCAGTTACTATGGTGCCAGAAGTTCTTGCATCTCATGTAGGATTTTAGCATAGCCGATTCCATCATTTCAACTGAGAATCTTTTGCTCTGAAAAATACGTCAAGAGTTCATTTGGAAAGAACTTTTGTAAATGTTGAATTCTGGGTGTCAGCTTGTGGAAATTCCTATTTAATTAGTCTGGGTGGGGTTCCAGAGTCTGCATTTTCCAAAAGCTCCCCAGGTGATTCCGCTGAATCCCCACACCCTGTGTTTTACTCACTTTCCAGTTCCAAGCTAGACTATTTATTGCATTAGATGGGTGTTTTAGGTAACATCAATTTATTATTCATTTAACAACTACTTATTAATTATCAAATGTGTGTAAGGCACAGCATAAATTGATTCATTGCTCTGCTTTTAAAATTCCTACTAGGAAAGCAATTTATACCTCCTTTAAATGAATAAAAAAAGTAATACTTACACCTAAAACTAGTAACAAAATAACATTGATGTAAACTTTAATTGAAAAATAATGTTTAAAAAAGTACTTACTTTAGGATCAGAAGTTTCATGGTACCATCTCATTAGAATGTAAGAGAAATCCTTATGTGTATGAAGTCACAAATTCTGACATAGGAGAGGGTCAGAGAGTATGGATTTTTTAAAAGGCGAATCTTTACTATCCTAAGCTGGAGTAATTTATCCTGATCCTTTCTGCTTGCTTCTCAGAGAGGTGAGGCACAGACCTTGTCCAAGTTAAACAGGAAGCTGAAGCTCTGACCATAAAGTAATCTGCACCATTGTGAATTATGGACTTGGATCTGAACTTAAAGATCCTGAAAGTCATGGGACTGGTGGATGCCTATTCAGAGGGGTGGTGGCTTAACAATGACAGGGAAAACATTGATTCAGGCATCCGGGGTTCTAGTCCCCATTACTGACTAGCTGAATGCATTATAAAGCCATTTCTCCTCTCTGGGTCTTCATATCCTTATCTTCAGGAATTGCAGGTCAAGTTGTTATCAAATTTGAGGGCCTGAATTCCAAAGAATACTGAATTAGAAGAAAAAGTTATCACTTTGGCTGATCATGTGGTGTTAAGATGTTCAAAACCACAAACACAAAAGGCATGGCAAAACTTGATAGCTGGCTCATCACTCTAATATATGTATTATCTTTACAATTTAAATGAAAACAAAAAACTTTTAATAGAGTAGTTGAGGATGCCAAGTTAAGGAATACTGCATTAGATAATATCCAGTGGAAGATAAAAAGAAGCCATGTCTGAGAGTTCTTCAGTTCTCTTATCTGACCACACACCAAGTATACTTCTGATTCTGCTGTGTCACACAAGAAGATTAAATCTACAGATAATATGAGATTTGATAACAACCACTTATCTCCTGAGAACATACGTGCCAAACATCATCTTAGGCATTCTTGGAGTTACACAGAAAGGGAGAATGTGCGATAACTATGCCTCAGAGGTTCATCATCTGTTACTCTCCTGCATTTTCTCTGCTCCTGCACTAGACTATGTGTAGAGAGTCACAAAGAGGACACTGCGCCTTTGCATGTGCACACCGTGCTGACTTGGCAGGGGACTCATGTTCATTCTTCAAAACTCAGTTTAAGCAACACTTTTATTTTTTCATGATCAACCTTGATAAAACTGAAACTCTTCCTTTGTGTTCTCCCTGTCCCTTGGGCATGTGTGATTCTAGGTCTTGTCATATCTTGCTTGCATTGTCATCTTTCTCTTAGTAGACTATGAATTGTTTGAGGACAGGAATCATGCCTTTTAAAGGTATTTTATTGATTTTTAGAGAGAGAGAAAGGGAGAAAAGAAAAAGATCGATATGAGAGCACAACATAGATGGACTGCCTCGCACATGTCCCCTACTGAGAATTAACTCAGAACCTGGGCATGTGACCTGACCGAGTAAAGAACTAGCAACTCTTTGGTGCACAGAGGGATGCCCAAGCAATGGAGCCACACTGGCCAAGACAGGATCATGCCTTTTGACTTCTGCATTTCTATTTTTTTTTGGGGGGGGGGGAGTTGAAAATGATCTTTATTTATTTACATTGGTGGGGCCTTAACATAATTTTATTATTCTTTTTAAAATTGTATCTTTATTATTGAAAGTATTACTGATGTCCTCTTTTTCCCCCATTGACCTCATCCACCCTTCCCCCACCCCCAGGCCTTCACTACATTATTGTCTGGAACCATGGGTTATGCATATATGCATATAAGTTCTTTGATTAATCTCTTCCTACCCCCCTTCCCTCTGAGATTCGTCAGTCTGTTCCATGCTTCTATGTCTCTAGATCTATGATGCCTGCATTTCTCAAACATGGAACTGACTCGTGCTCAGTGCTTGATTACAGAGTAGATGAATGGGTCAATGGTTGAATAAGATCCAGAGATGTTCACATTCTACTTTATCATTTATTCCCTGCGATGGAGGGGCAAGGTGGATGGGTGCATGTCTCAGTTAAAATAATCTCCAGCTCTCTGCTCATCTTAGCAGTGCTAGGTTTTGGGACTTATTTTAGTGTCATCCCTGATTGTTCCCTTCCACCCTAAATTGGAAGTATCTTCAGGACTTTCATTCCAGGTGCACTCTTTTTTTTTTTTTTGGAAATACTATTTACACTCATGTCATTGGCATCATCTTTAGATCTGATGATAATTGCAAAGCCTGAAAAACAAATTCTCAAGAAAAGATGCTTTCTGAAGAGCTAATGAACTCTTGAGGTGACAAGATGAAGACCCAAACCTTCATCTTCTGTGAGATGTTTGCTACTGCATGTGGCAGTTTCATGCCTCTGGAGGCTGATGGTCAGTAATAAATACTCAGCTCTGTGATTGATTTTCTGATTCTTGTAGTTGCTATTTTACTTTTTACGGCATAACTACTATGTCCCAAAATGTGAACTGCAATTTCTCAAGCAGTCTTCACACTTAACTCTTACCCTCATTTGGCAGGAGAGATTCAGAATAAACAAGAACCTGCTCAAAGTCACACAGTTTCAGTGTTATTCAGCTAATTATCGAATG